GACGCTGCTTAACTGTGCCCAACATTTTGTTTTGGTTCAGCTGACGGTTGTGCTGTGATTTGACCGCTTATCTTTTGACTGGCTACTGGAAACGTTTATTTGTTGATTTGACTCTTGTAGACAGAGTTTTTGATCCCCTTCTGTTGAGAATATTCCTATTGATTCTCGAGTAATTAATAATTGTATTTGTTTAACCAATTTTTTCTGTATTGCACATATTTGTGCCCGAGAACGTTCGGACTGTATAGTTACTCAACGGCACTCTTGAGGTATTTTTGTAATTTCGACATAACTTATTGTTGCTTTGATAGTACCACAGATTTTGTGACGAATCTACCATTGATTTACTGCAAGCCGTGTTTTTTTATATTGTTGATCCAACCTTTGACTGTGGATCAGTCTCGGAAGCTCGGAGGTTATACAGCACAACGCAGGGACTTGTCAGGTCCCATTAGTTTGGGACCGCCTAGTTGTTATTCGCGTTCAGGCTAGAATAACTGGATTTTGGCTGTTACTATCTGTAAGTTCCACGCAAAAGCTAGTCCTAAGGGTAGCGAGGTTGAGAAATGAAACTTTGCACGTTAATTGAGATTTATTGCCGAACTGTGTAAATTATAGCAGGTTAGGATGATTTCAAAAACGATGAAAATTAATGTGCACTTGCTCAGGTGATATGCACTGTTGTGTACGATCGTTTATAGAATTTAAATCAGGTTGGTCAGATTATCCGTTGGTCACTGATCCAATGAATGTATCCAGCTATTGGTCGATGAATGTTCTATTTCACAGTATGTTCGGTGTCGAAACAAAGCATCAATATATTTCGCAAAAAAGCACAATAACTGTTTTCATGACCGCCTTTTCTATATGTGAATCCAAATAGAAAAAATACTCCCAAACTTTAATACCCATTGAACGACTGTTTATCAGCTCCTATTCCATCTCAGTGGTATGTTCAGATATATTTTCATAACGTATCTCTTTCACGAAGATGTTTCAGCTACCTGATATCTTTCACTGTTGTCGCAGTCACTCATGGAGAATCAGTGACACCAAATTAAAATCTGTCCGATTCACTTGCATTCGCATTGAACGCGTTTGAGGCAATGTGTTTCATTAGTGTGTGTGCAAACACATCACTCAGAGTATGACACAATATCTTCTTAGGAATCGAGGAATATTTAATACTGCCTTTTCACTTCATTCATTCGGTTACGAAGTGCTCGTTGTTTCAGGATTAAAAGATAACCTGTTTATTTCTCATAATCATCACAGAGGAAATGAACATACTGACTTTGAAGGAAACTGCTGAAAAATGTTTGCTAACTTTCCTCATAGTTCTTGATGCAAATGTCTATTCACCCCAAAGGGAAATCGTCATTCGAATTTGAAGGAGAAGAGAGATATTTCAGTTGACAGGGATTTGAGAAGAGTTAGGTTCCTTTTCATCACTGCGCATACTCCGAATGAAAGATATCCTGAGGTGAGTTCGTGATGTTTGAGAAAACACCAGCAGATGAAGTGTTGCACAGGGATGATTTGAGTTGGCGACTGTTCATAAATCCCTGTAAATTATGATAATGAGGCTTAGTAGTGCTTTATGGAAGACACATGTATCCATTATTGTGTTACATAGTTATTCGAGAAGAGAAAGGGGATTTTACTCGATATTGCACCAAATCAGTGATCAGTGTGACATATTTTCAATAAAATAATAGTGGATAACTACTTCGGAACTAAGCAGAAACACATCTTAAAAGATTTGTGATGAAGTCTTTCCAACTTGGATGCAATTATGCAAAGCGATCTCCCTAGTAGCACATAACCATGTTGTGGTGAATACTGTTCATTAGAATGCGAAACAGTAGTATAGAGCTGAACACTCGGAAACACAGTTGGTGATAACAATTGATAGGTAAGGATATGGAAAGAAGGAATACACCTTGTTGTGTGAGAATATGGAAGGCAAGAATACTAGGTAGTAAATAGTGAACAGTAGAATATGCACAAATATGACTTAATTGTGCTTCTGAATATTTTCACTAATATTGGCAGTCACTATCAATAGACAGTGTCTGCTGCTCTACTGAACTTCTTTTCATTGGTAACGCGCAGGTTACTCTTTGTCTGTTAGCCAAAAGCATGTGGTCACATTGTGCTAGAGAACAACCTTCATTCAGGTCTAAGATTCATATCGATTATTAGTGAATTTATGACAATGTTTCATTCCATTCAAACATCATGCGATTTTTCAACTTGCCAGTGAATAAAGAGTCATACGATGTATGAAGAAATGGATTTATTTTTGCTTTTTATAAATTCACTCTGGTTGTGTTATTTATCTGTTCAAATCATGTGTAGTGTGTATTTTCATTCAATTATCTTTCTATGCATTGTTTGGTCTGATGGTGCATAATTTCACTCTCTATGATCTATACACTCATCGCTGACAACACAGATGATATGTGTTAGCATTGAACGAGCATAAGGTGAGTAGAGTGCATCAACTACAAGCATATCACAGAGTAACGCCTTAACCGTCATAATCGTTGCATTAGATTGTCAAGACCATTCATGGTGTTGATTCAGTTGAATTCTGGAAACCTGATCTATGCGAATTCACGTATGATTGTTTTGTACTTTTGTGTCCAGAATGTTTCGATTTATTTCCGAAAAGTTGTGGTGCACACCTGCGTTTTAGCTCCAATTAAACTGGATTGCTTCACACTGCTGATCATGTGCTGGATTACATGTTCTTTATATCCTTACGAATCACTCATGAGTTAAATGTTTTCACCAGTTACCAAAATATCTGCTTCCCAAATGTAACTTCTCTTCAGCACGCATTCACATGAAGAAGCGTAAGTGAATCATCAAAACACTTTATTCTGCTTAGATTACACATTTCAAAATATTCTACTGGCAATACAAAGAAAATGGATGAAGCTGGTTATCAACATTTGATGGTCCCAGCTAGAGTCCCGTTCCATAGATCCTAGGACAGAGGGAAATTGTTAGTATCATTATCATTACTGTAAAAGAATACAAGTGATCCACTCTCACTGTCAACATTTTTAGTGGAATCAAGAGTAGTCTGTATTGTTGAATTCAATGGACAGCTATATATTCGATTACAGAGACAGATTACCTGTTATCAGGTGCAGTGTGAAGTTCAACTGAATGGGTCACTGGACTTGCTTCTGATGTAGAGTGCTTCGAGGTATTCAACGTTACGTTTTCATCAGTCACACACAGAAGCCTTTTCAGTAACAACGATGAATAATTGTGACATCGCCAGTGATTTGATTCCCTCAATCAGGTTCTCCTGATCACTAGTTCACTCACATAAAATAATTTTTCGTAGTCAGCTCTTGCCTTATTGTCATTATCCATCATTGCCGAAAACCACGTAGCATTCACAGACTGGCTAAAACATGAGTTTGGTTTTGTGTATTGAATACGCTCAAAGTGTGACCAGGTATTGATTGGTTTTGACAATGTCCACAGTACTGAGGTGTAATTCAAGTACCAACATGTCCTTCTCATCTACTTTCTCAGTTTCATTGAGAGTCAAACGTACGTTCATTCACTGAGTTCACTTAATAACCTTTCTTAAACTCTTAGACAATGACCTGCATTTTGTTACAAGTAGCCACATTTGTATCGATCACACGGAAGTTACTTTACACACTCTTGACTCAAAAAAAGGATACAATTCTTTTTTAAATAGATCAAGCTGTTTATCTGAATCACATATTGTGGAGAGAACATTGTCCATATTCTGGATAGTTGAAAAGCTAGTGCACAGACGAAAAACGCCACAACATTTGTTAGCACAAAGTCTGTAGAACGCTTTGAATTCATCCACCTGCCGATGCGTCTGCGCTGAAATACAGGCATCACAAAACGCTCGCCTGCATCAAAACATTATATCCTGGCCACTACATACTCCTATATAGGCTATCCTGACAGCTCTTGTGAATTTATATGACTCTGAATACATGTGAAAGCACCAATTCTAGAAAATTAGTCGGTTACTTCGAAAATTTGCAAAACCTTACAGAAAATTACTCACCTCATTCCAGGTATTCCTTCATCAGCTGTTCGAGAAGAATTGGCTTCCACTGTCCCCTCGGTAGGCCTAAAGAATGTGATTCATTTCTGATCTCAATTTACCTTTCAAATAATCTACTCTTTGATGTTCGAATTTTCGCACACTTTCCGCCAACGAATCTGGAATGATAAAGTGAATTCCAAATACACTTCTGTTTGTTAGTAAAAGAAAATACGCTTATAAGCAGAAACATTTTGTGAACACGATTTCTCAGAATGTTAGAGTTTATAGCAGTATACCACAGAACTTCGTTCAGTTCCTTCCCTTCTCTCATCCAAAGAGAATGCACGAAGTTGTAACACTGTAGGACTTCTCGACCATTATTTCTATTGTGAAGGATACAGGAACAACCGGTTTGCATTGAAAACTAACTGACTTACTTACATGTTAGCCCCCAATTGTGCATATATGAAATCTCACACTTCCGTCCTTAATTCCTACCAGGTTAGTTCATCAGAATTTGCTTGAGAATTCAGGAGTTTCAGTGTGTCATGGGGTGCATGAAATTTGAATGTAATATTCTGAGAGCTTAAACAGGTTAGCCTATGTCAGTGACTTGTGACACATTTTCTTTACATTGCCCTGCATCCTTCTGTCCATTCTGAGTGACCATCTTTACACAGAAGCCGTACATCATCCACTTATGAAGTGGTCAGATCAGTTTCATCCTCCTCAGCGTGCTTGAGGACACGTCTGCAGAGTGTTCAGTTCCTTAAGACAGATTTCAGTGCATGTTACAGGGCAGTCACTTTGGTCGAAACTTAAATAAAGTTTTATATAGCATGAAGTCTCGTTGCGCTAGATTCCACCGGTACATTTATTTTGTAAAATATTAGTGCTGTGAAGCATTCAACCTGTTAGGAATTTAACTCACACATAGCTGTGTTCAACTGCCTGCTGATGCTATTATAATTGTCCAGGTATTTTTCCTGAGGGGTGAATCTAAAGAACAAAATACGCGACCCATTGTTAAGCATGTAACAGTTATTAAAAAGTTACGTCACTAAGAGCTTTACAAAATGTTGAAGGTGTGAAACGATTTTCAGACACTATGTGTGACATTTCGAAAGAGCTAATGATTTCATACTGAAGTGCGAATGGATACGGAGAGAACTTTATCTGTCCACTAGTATATGCTTGTTTCATTGCATTCTATCTTCAGTCGATAATCGAGTAAGTATTTTCCAAGTGACTGAACATTCTAGCAGCACTAAGGTAATCAGGAAATCAGTGGCTGTTACATAATGGATGGCAAACAAGTTTTCGACGTACTTTTGACGGCACTGTTCTACTTATTGTCAATCATGAAGACTGTGTTTCAAGAGTTTGTCTCGCTCTCTGAGGTGTATTTGTCACATAAGCTTTTGAATATATGTGAGACAAGCAATCCTTTATTTTCTGATAAAATATAATGGAATGGAAACGGAAATGCTTTTGATTTTGTGATTTTCGTGAATATTTACTGGATAGCCTGATAGCAAAATCTAATCTTCATTACGAACGAACAATTTTAATTTCCTACATTCATTGCAGCCAACAGGTATACATCAAATATATACCGGAGTTACTCAACCACTGAATTTCACATCATTCGTCACACATATTTTACTTCCGGTTACTGAGTTGTTGTATGAGTGGATGAAACTGGCAAGGGGTAACTCTCGTGACTTTGCCTGGTATCAGCCAACTAAGTAAACAGAATGCTTTTCCAATGTCAATCACTATCATGGTGTTAACATAACGTAATATATAATGCTGCAGTTGCTGATATCATAATATGAGTGATGATGATTGCGACATTTCGCACGATTTGATGACCTTCCAAAACATGACCTTAAGGCATGGATGTAGAAATTAAAAATTTACTTCCCAAATTATAATGTTGATCAAGATGGATATCTGAGAAAATCAACTCTAGGATGATTAAATTGAATGTAGGAGGTATATGCAACACTCCTCCCTTGATCAAATTCTCCACTCCGTTTCAGTCAGCTGTTGTTTATAATGCGATTAATCTGAATGAAATCAATTAGCTCCCACTATTTCTATAGGTAAACGCCTTTACTCGTCAGACGGTTATAAAAAATAAGTGTGTTGGACTATGTCGAGACGATTTGGACTTCTTTCCATGACACCGAAATACGTGATTTTCAAACAACGAGATCTGAATTCAATGTTCTTTCTCAAATGTAGTTGCATTGCTGAAACTATTCATGCGAATGCATGCATTTACATGCATTTGCAAACACCATTCGTCGAAAGGAATTCGTGTCCTATTACATCATGATCGTTTTGTTTCCCAACTGTTCCATCTCCATCCATCTTTCATTCGAGGTCCTATCAACCTAATGAGACAGTCTTCTCATTAAGCTCTTGCATAACTGGAAACCAGAAGTTAAATGTGTGTATTAGGTGACGATGCGAGTGGTTATTCTCGAGACTTGCATTGCAACAAAACTAACGTGGTACCTCTGATTTTCACTGAAGTGTCCATTAATCTTGTGTTTTCCATTCACTTACACAAATTTTTACGATAACGATGTGCAGCCAGAACCGACCGAGCTTCGTAAGCATTGACAATCTCTATAAATCAGAAAAGCAGTTGATTGAAGTATTAGTTTAGACACAGTGAAATTTAGAGGAGAATTATTTTACTGTTGTTCGATGATTAGATTGATGGTGATGTATTGTGCAACGCTGAGCATTTTATGTATATTGGCTTGTCCTGTTTTCTCGAAGCTAGGAGGGAATACCATGAAAACGGAGTCTTCAAGCCATTGATCCATGATAACTTGCAAATACAGGATTCGCAATCGTGTTAGATATATTCAACACTGATAATTGAAGTGACAACTCCACCTTTTTATTTCCAGGCAGAGATACACAAAATGCTAGACGCTTAATTATTATTTTTCAGTCTAAAATCATTTACCCGTTCAATCAGGATGAACCAGTGATCAGTGATAACAATTTTTCAGTCCCTGTTTCACATAGCTGGCAAATATAATCAATTGTTCTGAGTAGGCAGTGCTTGTCGCGATGCTGATTCCGAGAGCATGTACACCTGACCTTTTAAAATGCTCCGTATCACTTGTTGAGGCGTAAGAGTGGTGATGCATTTGCGAGATTCAAGCTATGGCATGGAGTCAAAAGTGATATCCGTTATTAAGGTGACACAAAATTATGAGAAGAAATATGCAAACTTTAAGTCTCTCAGATTCATCTTTGGCAGTGACCATTTTCTTTTCGTAAAGTTCATCTGAAAGTAAAACAAATTTAAATTTAAATGATGGATTCATCAGTGTTTAGTGCGTGTGGATGCAGTTGGTGCTCTCTAAAAACATCGACAGAGATGACATGTGCACTCTCCGCAAAACTGGCAATATTTAGCCACACTTCACGAAGTGATTGCAGCTGAGTTGTTTTTATTGTCCTTATTTATTCTGACTTGCACCTAACTGAATACGAGTTCATATGATATAACAGTAAAGCAACCATAAACTACTTGTTCCTAATACAGTAAAGGTTTGTAGGATAATTGTAAACTCGCCTAGACTTTCGGTTTCAATGACCATAGAGTTTCTCCTTCGGCATTTTTGCTCACACGAGACGCTAGAAGAAAATAAATTAGTCGCAACAAAATCCATCAGAGAATGGTTCATTTTTAACTCACCTGAGTTTTCATGGTCGTAGTAAGTTAATGTTGCGAAGTAATCACCTGTCATTCAGTAAGCAAAGAAAACGGAAAACAGCATTTTCATCAAATTAATTGGTAAGTAAGCAGAAAATATTTTCAGTTGGTGAATTGCAGCTGACTGGTGTGGTAGCTTTATCGGAATCATATGTATGGTGCTGCTTGGTTAGATGACAACACTTCCAGGCAAAGATTTCAGCCTCACTTTCGAACCACACTCACAGATATATGGTTCATCTACAACTGATTGCAAGTTTAGAAATTGAGTGATCCAATGAAGTATCCGAGTTGAAGGCTATCACCTCACTCCTTCTAATCACAATTTGGTGTAGATTGTTGAGGCTTCAGAATGAAAAGCAATGTCATTTTGCATCCATTTGACAACTAACCTTGTGCACTGACAAGAGATCTTCTCGCTTCCCACTTCATACAAATAGATGAGTTCAAATATCCATGTGCTGCAAAATAAAGTGAAGATGCTGACTGATGATGAAGGGTAACGAACGTGTACACACGTAAATAGATAAAAAATCAAGTTGTGCTTTCTGTCGATTCCGTGTATTGTTCGATTTGATCAGAAAGTGAAGCAAAGTGTTCAACGTCTCTATCTCAGATGCCCTTGACATTCATGTAGCAGCCTTGAAGTCTGACAGTTTATTCGACTGGCATATTAGCGCATTTTGAACTACAATAATTACATCTACTGTGTGAATACATCAGCAGGCTTACCAGATATTGCGTTCATTAGAACAAATTGCACTGATCTTAGTGTAGGTTTAGGCTTACGGATATCATCTTAGAAACGTTGCAGTGCTGACACCGACATCTGAGATGTTTCTGATGGCGATTATAGACAGCTGTGGGAAGAGAAGTTGTGCTTAATCAACTTCAGTATATTACTGGTAACTACCTAAGAGGTAAGATGCCCATTTCGAAGGATCGATTAGTCTGGCAAAACTGTTGAATATCATCACACAATAACCAGTGAAGTAACTCAGCTTGACCATATCCAGTCCATCGCATGCATCTGCTTCGATAGGAAATGGTTGTCAATCATTCTATAATTTCGATTCACAACTCATATTCCTACAAGCATGAATTCTCTTTGACTTATCGGGGCATGTAGGTGGTAGCGCCTTCGGTAACTCTCAGTATCCCATTCACACGAAATTTGATGAGCGTCCACTCTTCCAAAATCATTCCACTCGTCATTCCTTCATCTGTTTACTTGTTCCAGTGAATTCACGAATGACTGACATCCAACGAAGTTCGTAAATGAGCTGGCAATGTATTTATCTAACTAGCTGGCGTTGACCAATTCGAATCTCCAAGCTGAAAGTTACGACGATAAATACGTGGAACACGGTTAGGTTTCTTCTTGAAACCATTTCAGAATTCACTGAATCGAGTAAGACCATTATGGAGATTCACCCTACAAACTTGATATGGCGCCGACACCGGTGAGAATGCATTCAGTGATGCACAAAATTCAACTGCGAACAAATCTAAAAGTGCACAACATTTTCAATGAGACATTACCATCAAGGTTCGAATTCATTCTTTCAGCTTCTTTTATTGCTCTCTTATGCAGTTCTGATCATTAAATGCATGAAAAATAAACGTTTCAATGCATATTTCACTATATATCAATGCTAGATACATGACATATATTTGTAGGTTACAGATACTAATTCCATGATCCAAATCATGATCGAAATCATTCTGCCACCAATACTCAATTATGCAGATGTACATGGTGAGGAATTGACAGAAGCGAGCCTTCTTATCACACGTAGTGACATGCCAAATCAGACGAACTGAGATGCCTGAGTGTTCAGTACAACCTTGCCTCTGCATATATATATATATATATATATATATATATATATATATATATATATATATACATATATATAGACGTTCTTGTTGTAAACACGAATCCAGAAAACATTTGAAATGCTAAACATTATTCACCGTGTGCGTTTAATACCTCCCTCTTCTTGTCAATTATTTTTAAAGGTATGAGAAGTGGGGGTTGTTGGACTTAGTTGAAATAACCTGTCACCGTGTGATGGTCGGCCAGTCTAATCGACCGAGTATCCCAGTAGGTACCTGAAGTATCACTTTAAGCGAGGTTTGATCAAACTACTCCATCGGATTGAGCACCACATTCCAAATTCCATGAATTTACAACGAGAGGTGTAATTTTCAGAGCAAAAGTCCATTGGATTAGCTGGTGTGAGAATTTAGTAAGTGCCATTCATTTGAACTACAACTGACAGGTTAGGATTGCCAACATCTAGGTCGCCATTTCCAATACGCCTCAAACTGGAAATGCGAAATAAATTCCCCTTTGATAGTTCTCACAACACTGTTCACAACTTGTTCCTTAGTGCTTATTGTATGTGATGTGTTTGTTGAAGCATCTGGGAATATGATGGCTGCTACCTACGTGGATGAATGCAGATGACTTGCAGTCTCGACGTTGCTCAGTAAGAGCAATGTTCCACTCAAAACTGTCCCCAGAGATTCACACATAAGACCACGTCTCAATGACCAGTAAATTATTGTGAATTTTATCCCCTGTAACCATGTCCTTCAGTATATGTTCGATGTGTCACAACTGCAGTTCAATGCATCAGTGACTTCAGTGTAGCAAAACAATGAATAACGCCAACGTTCAAACTGAAACAAGTCCAATCTCGTTGAATTAAAACGATTGCAATCGACAAGGAAATATCCAGTTGGCGAAAACAGTCTCAATTAAGCAAAATCATTTCGATAATATTATGCAAACACAAAATACTTGTAAGACTAGTTAGGCAAAATTTATTTGACATCCACAACAGGCGTGTTCTGGTCACAGACCCATCACTCTGATACTGTTGTCATGTCATGCTATCTGAGATGGGATAGTTGTTCACAGTATTCCATCTGTCATTTGGAGTGTCTTTGTGGATAAAGATTCTTCTATAGCACATTTGTGCATTTGTTCAGTACCAGCACCAAGCGAGTCCGTTTTCTGATAAATACGAGGGTCAGGCGACATGGTGATGTATAGAATTCTATGTGGTCAGGTGCTTTAGTCTTCTCCGATCTGAGTTTGTGAATGGATTTCAGGAATTTAGAGGAAGTTTGATCAGAGGCTTGGTCAAATAATTTCACTATGAAAGAAAATGCACAAACAACGATTGTGTCATAGCAGCAATGAACATGCAGTCAGTCACTACAAATTGTCAGTTGACTGAGATTCGCTACAGCCTAATCTCCAATGAATAATAACACAATTGTCTGGTTATTTTGTGAGGTGCAAGATGATGACTGCAGAATCAGGATATCGCTAAATATGTCAGCACACAGTACGATAAGGCTATTAAAATTCAGGTGAAAAATTCATTGATTATGTTGCATTTCGCTCACGTGAAATTCTCTGTGCGTGTTTATCTTCTGACAGTTTGTGTTCTGTGAAGGTGAAGTAAGTTATTCCACGAGAATTAAAGTCGAAACTGTCAAACTCCCCCAGAAATATATAAAAGTAACTGAACAAATGACACGTTGGTAGACAATAGACTTTCACCTCATTATTAGATAACCATATAGACGATCATAAAATAAGATGACTCGATAATGATTTCGTTTGTTTGCTTGTTTCGGGTCTGAGTTCATGACTTATCTGGTCATCAAAATATGCAGATCAGTTGAAGCGTTTTATAAATCTTCACTTTCATCAGTATCATATTTCGCTAGGCAATAACCATTACAACATTATTGACAGAATAGACTGTAGGCCTTGAGATGAAATAGATGCATCAGATGAACATGGCATACTCTGGACATGGACATCAACCTATAGTTGCTTCACCAGAGACAATTCTATTACCACAAACCAGCCCTCACTTTGAGATCTCCTTGAATGTTACTTACCAGAAATGAAAGTGTTAGCCCACTTCAAAAAGTACAGTTTTTCAAGTCTCAGACATTCTGGAAGAGAAGAAGTGCATAAAAGTTCAAGGATCTTAAATTCATTTGTGGAAGTACATTTTCGAAATCATGAGATAAGCGGAAGTGACATGTTAAGACATAGATTGTGATTCAGTACTTGAAGTGATCTTGGGAAACTTGATTCAATATTTTGTACACAGCCTACGCAAAGCATCACAGTGATTCATGCACTGGAAACTGTTGTCTGTCTTCGTGTCTTATTTGAAGATGGTTGAAGGCGATCACCTGGTAAGATTTGACATGGTAACTCTGAATCCGTCAGTGATGTATATCACTGGGCATTCTTCTTTGTTGAATGTAAAACAGCATACACCATTCGAATTTTCCGGCAACATCTGTTCTGTTGCCTATTCATGTATTAAGTACTATGTGGCAGAGAACTCAAACTGGCGCATACCAATGTGGGATCATTCCTTTATGATTTCACTTTTTTGAGGTGAACATTAAAGGCAATTGACGCTCATCAAATAATCATTGAAATGCATCAGAAGCTATTACCTGCTTCAATCCGGTTAGTAGGGTTCACTTTTTCATTGTATGTCTGGTACTCAAGTACTAAAACTGAACAAGAATTTTAATACACATATGTAACACCAGTATCGGACGATATGTCAGACGCGTGAATAGTAATCATATCAGAAACTTCACTAAAACAAGGCTAGCGCTCACATATCCACTAGACGTTTTTGTGCGTTTGCTCCAGTTCTCAAAGTCACTCAGTAATGCAAAGTCTCTACTAAGTCTAACACATTGAGGAGACCGAAGGTGACGAGCAATTCATTGTCGATGATTTGCACATCTCACATACAGAATTCCCAATCACATGTGAGCGAGCACTTATTCTCATTCATACATAAAACTGATTCCATATGATGACTAAGGATTTAGTCAACTGTGTCAAGGACTGATTCCGTGTGTGTTTGTCAGGAAATTCGTTCAAATTTACAGCGGTACTTACAATGACCAACATATACTTCGTAGCAGGCTTTTTGATATTTTTGCAATTCTGAATATACGTTTTCTGAAAGAGAAGCAAACAAGTCGCCGTCTCATCATTATTAACGAAATAATATGGATTTGTGGTTAAGTTCCTCAGACGGACTGCTGAGTATTAGAGGGACTGCTAGGTGTTCTTAATACGACCTAGTAGTAATAGCAATATTGTTACATCAACAGGAATAGTGAGAAAGGCCGTAATGAGGGGCATTGCAACACGAAATGAGAAGTTCACTCTTTACGAGAAAAATTTAATTTGTGCACATTTCCACCTGTTATTTCAAGCAGTCACAATAAGCAGGAATAAATTGCAGATAATTGCAAGCTACGGATACAGATCCAGTTGAGGGGAATCTCTGAACAAGCTAACCGTTGTCCATCTTTGAATATGACTTGAACTTGTGGATATCAAAATAAAACAGTTCATCAAACATTCTTTATTATCTAGTGGTATCGATAAGAAAATGAGTCACTATTTTCTGTGACTACACAAACATCTTACCCTATGCCTCAGAATTCGCGAAGTCTTTTTGTTCACATCAGCGGCAGAGATTTTGAACCGACTAATTCCTGGTCATGCCGCTTTTCTGATTTCCGCTACCATTTGCAGGCAGTGGAAAGACTTCGGCTTCAACCTCAGTGGTATGCGATTGATTCTGTCTAAATTTCTAACTTTTCCTCTCACAAAATGCCTATTATCACAATTGCACAACCCCTACCAAACTTCAAGATATGAGAATCCAAACTATGGAAACTGATCGAACTCAAAGCTTCATGAATGCAGTCACATGATTTGACATAAATGATGGATCCTCAGTAAGTCTCATAAGTATGATCCCTAAGTTACGCAGTTGAGTGCATACACTTACGTGACAGTGGATGCAATTGCAGTTCTTGGTTGTATTGTGTTCTCTTAGCTTAGGTGTTTAATTATAACCTGTTGGGAGACGGCTAATTACATCGATTTCTAAGATTATTCAAGGTGGAGTCAGCATCTACAGCATAATGGACGTAAAACTAGGAGATTGGCAGTAAACTGTATAATCTGAAACAAGTATAGTTTGAATTGAACTGCATTTTAAGAATGAGGGACAAACAAATGGCATTATGAGACAATAGTCTTACTTAGTGGATCAGAGGCGTCTAAAAGAAAAAGTCAGCGCATATATTAACAGAAGTGGACAGCAGAATCCCCAACATTTCTGATAGACTGAAGGTGACAACAGTGTTTGAATTCGAAATAATGAATTATTTTCAGTGGTCAAAGTTCACGTCAGTTATTTGTTGTAAGTCATAACGCAGCAGGTAAGGAAAACAACCAAATGAAGCACTTGCATTAGAAATAGGTGGTCTGCGACGTCAAGAATACTTGGATGCCTAAAGGCATTGGATGCGTTTGAATGGATTCTTTGTATTGAGCATCACATGCAAATATATATACAAGCAAAAATGTGCACACGCGTATGGACGCAGAAGAACAGAATTTCGATTCCGACCACGTCGTAGAAGATGAATGTGGATATATTTGTAGCCACATACTGTCACTCTTACAATCGCATTCAAATTTGTCAGTTCTGAGTTGTAGTGCACAGTTTCTGAATGCTACTTGACTCACCTCATCAGCATTTACCCTGGCTTTCAGGTTGGTCATACTTGCAGCTCACTACCAAAACAAATGAGCAAAACGGTTATACTGCCTTGCTCATTCAAACCTCACTGACGATCCATTTAATTTCTCCATCACACAGTATGTCCCTGTCAGTCATATCTGTGTGTACTCTCTATGTGTACTTCTTGCGAAATCTATGAATGTCGATTGTGTCATCTATCGTTGGGAATCTTATCTCCAGTATGATTGCTTCATTACACCCGGATAACCTTGAAGATGATTTTAGGAAGCAATCATAGCAAAAAAGCTGTTTATCGTGAGGGGCAAATAGTGGTGATGTGTGAAAAATGAGTCACTTCCACTGATGCTGCTTGGTGTGTTTTTATTTGCAAAATCCTTGAAGTTTAGATTCACTCAGTATTAGTGTAAGACTATGTGAGCCCCTCTTCAAATGGAAACTGTCTGGTGATGCTGTTTCCAGTCAAGATAGTCATCTAGCTCTAAGATTACTGGCACCATTAACCTTCTTTGAAATACATTAATGAATGGTTATATCTTTGGAGAGTCAGACTATGATTCATCACTTTTGAAATCACTTGGAATGATTCGCAGAAAGCAATAGAGAAAATGAAGTGAGCTTGATCATTTCAGCTTCACTTTCTATCAGTCAGGTAGTGCAGTGTGACTGAATCTTCTTGACTACATCATCCACCCTCATTCCTTATAAGTAAGGATAGACATTTCAGACAAAGTGTTGAATAATACCAATAAATGAAAATGCAGTTTAACGTGGACGTACCTGACTGAATCAACGAACAGAGGACAAAAGACAGAAGTGATATTGCCTTCATTTTCGCCTCACAAATTATCAGCAGATCTGCAATAACTGCACATATATATAGACGCATGTAGACTGACAGACCACTCTAGGTCTACCAGATAACGAATCAAATGCAGCCTCATATGACTGGACAGGTGAGTGTCTCTCACTCTCAGGTTGAAACTGCAGACAACCGAATAGAATGAAACAGTTTCTTGTTCAAACTAGAAATTTCGGATTGATTTCTGGCAATTACTTCAACTTCGCGAGCAGACGTGTGCAACGTCTATGAATACAAGTGAGTATATATATATTCTTGAGGTATGTCACATTTTTACCAAAAATATTTGCTTTTCAAATAAGGGATGAATGCCATATTTTTGTTGGCAGCTCACTGCTTCTGAAGCTAATTCCAGTGTCTATTTAATCTTCGCTTTAGAGACTCTCAATAAGGCACTTATGAACTAATTATGTGATGCATTTCTTGATGTTATGATTATCGGCATGGAGAATACTTCATCAGTGTCTTCGAATCATGCCTTGCTGAAACGGGGACAGCTGGTTGACCACCACAGGTAGACTGATACACTCATAAGCAGGCTGTATAACGAGTGTTTCTGGTATATATCAATATTAAAAGAGGAAATGAAAAAAAACACCAGAACTATTTCTAATGCACACTGAAACAATGTCAAATGATTCAAAGTCAAGTAACTGTGGAGAAGGACTACCAACAAGTAAATAAAGAGATATTCGGAAATTCACACGTCTGATCAGTCGGAACAAATCGACGTCATTTTTCCTTTCTTAGCCAGATCAACATATGAATGTCTAGATATTATAAGAAATGCGATTAATATTATCTGAATGTCCGTTTTCAACAGGATTTATTGTACAATCTTCTAAGCTAAGCTCATAATGCACTCATTTCATGTTTATATATGGAATATACCGGCAGTCAAACTGAAATGGGATGAGTTCATTGGCATCTCCAGTTGTGGGAAATCTTTAGATGAAAGCCTTGTGAGAGACAGCATTCAGAAGCTTCCAATGCTAATCCGGAATTTGGTTTATATATGTTGATGATATGTTTGTCGATCTTAAGGAACTAAACCAACAGGTTACTTACTTTACAGCATATCAGTTCTAATTCAGATTTGACGAGTTTAGCCACTGAAATCGAATCCATTGACAGGACTCTGAACGTTTTAGACTGCCTTATCAAAACCATGACTGAAGGTAAATTCCTTGTATGAATAAACATAAAACCTACACATTCCGATAAACATTTAGAATTCCGGTCAAATCATTGGATTATTATAAGAGGTATTGCAGCACTGAATCCACCAAAAAGGGCGAAAAACATTGCAACTAATCCCAGTGATTTGGAAAATGAAATCTCCAGAGTAAGACGTGTTCTAATGGAAAAGGGATACCTGCAAGTACTTTTGGTCAACATTATCAATCAAACGAATAAACCAGCAAGTACCATTAGAAATAATAATGATAATAAGGGTACAACAAAATCATGGGCGTTATCTTTGTCGACATCAAATCGAAAAGGTATTTGTTAAGAGATTCCAGGAGAACGCGCTTCGAGTGGTATTAAACTCTGTTTTTAATCCTCATGTGGATCTCACCATACACTGAATATTTGATGTACCATTTGGCTACATATTTTGATAGTAATGAAAATTCATATATTTTGCTAAATTAACTCTAGTTTACACAACGCAACGTTCAGAAATATCTTCGTCTGGTTTTCTAAACAACCTGAGATTGTAATTAAACATCTTGTTATAAGGAACACAATAAGGCTGCAGTTTTATGGTTGCAAAATATTAGAGATTTCAGGAATAATATCTTGTGAAATGTCACAGTACGGCTTAAGTACTACCGGTCACAATGATGATTTGCTGAGTTTGTTACTATGTAAACAAAATGTGAGCTTATATTGGATATTCTCCTACAGTGTGGTGGAAAACAGCTGAAAAACAATTCTTTTGCATTACTAAATACTCATTCATTTTACGTAAATTAATGACAGATTTGTTTTACTTCATTCATGCGTCCCACCCAGACACAAACTGAAAACTATGTCCACATATTCATTGTGAAGTTATGTTATGATTATGATTCAAATGGAAACCAGCCTGACAATCAGATTTCTAATGCTGTGATCTATCGCCTAAACTACACTAGCAATTGAAAGCAGGTTGTGGATGTAAGGAAGGCATGATTTAGTGAATTGCACAATTTCAGTAGGACTCTTCAGCTGGATACTTTAAGTAAGTGATCACGTATTGCTACCATCATTGTAAGAACTAAACACATTCTGAATAGCAGTTCACAGATGAAGAAATTATGGTGCGATAACAGTGAAACAGCCTACTCAAGAACGTATCACTTCGCAGGGATGCTACGGCGAAAAGATGTTTTCTGTTTTATTTGCTAGCTTCACGCCATTGGTTACAGAAATTATCAAGACAAAATTGAAGCGTCAATTCGATCAACACCTTAGAAATGAAATCTATGAATGTTATTTCACATTTTTTCATTCTACGAATGTGTTACACAGAGGAGCATCATTCAATGGAAAAGGCCTTGGAAGGAATTCATTGACCGAATTCAAATCCAGTCATGTGAAACCTACCTACAACACAGACAATAATGTGGTAGAAAGGAGAAGTGTGAAGTTAGGAGGGTATACATAAGCTGTTTGTAGTGGAACATAGGGGTTCAGTGGCACGTCACCATTTCACTCTTTTATCTGCAGTCTTTTGAACCTAGTTTCACCAGTGCCCAGAAGATTTCGTTTCTTCGTTACGCGATCTCCTCCATATCAGCCTGGGACGCCCAACTCGTCGCTTCCCCTTTAGGTTCCACTCAAGGGCCTGGTCTGGAGCGTGATCTCTCTAAATGGTCTCCTCAGTGTGTGCCTGACCCATCTGCACTTCCTTCTACCGCATATTTGTTGGGTGATGGGTTCTTGGTTGGTTCGCTGCCAGACCAGAGTTCCTTATGGCTTATTCTTTCTGGCATCCCGATCTGGTCTTGAGTATCGAGTGAGCGTAGGTGGCAGCTGTTGATGATGAATGTCTACAGTTGTTGGAAATGCTTTCCGTGATGCGCCAAGTCTCTCAGCCATCACATAGAACTACTGACGTGACTGACATTGGTGTTGAAAATCTGCATGTTGTTCACGCTTTATGTTGAGTGCAGTGCAGTGTAATAGATCTCCACACTGATTTCAGGTTAATGAAGGCCTGTCTTGCTTTTTCGATCCTAGCTTTGACGTCCTTATCTGTGCTGCCTATAACTGAGGCGATGCTGCCCAGGCAGGTAGGTGAAAGAGACAACTTCCTATAGATTTCTGTGACTGATGGTGATTGGGGATTGCTGTTGTTGTTGGATGGGTATCTTCATCACCTCTGTCTTCTCTACGTTCATCCAAAGTCTCGTCTTCGCTGTCTCGTCTCTTCTGCCAAATTGTTGCTTTCTGCCTGTAGATCTTCGAGTTTGTGCGACATTGGACATAAATCATCATTGATGAAATCCGAATCCTCCTCTGGGGTCTTATCGTCCGTTCAGTCAGCGTGTCTATCTTCTCGTTGCTCACAGCTTGTTGTATGATCCAGTCTAGTCGACCGCATTCACAAAGGTCATCAAAGATGGATAGTAGTCAGTCTTGTCTTACTTCTGCCTTCACTTCAAAGGCATCAGTGAGCTTTCCATTGTGAAGCACTTGGCATACAGCATCATATAACATGTAGCTGCTGTTGAATGAGGCTAACAAAGGTTTGTGGCACTAAAACCACAGTGTTGAAGCACTTGCCTGGCAAATTACTTCTCAGTCGACGGTGTCAAAGGCCTCTTCAAAGTCGATGAAGTTGATGTAGAGAGTTGAATGCCATTCTATGCTCTGTTCTATGATGATGCGTGGTGCTGCAATTTGATCTGCACGTGATTCTCTCCTTCTAAAGCCAGCAGCCTGTTCCGGCAGTTATCTTCAATCCAGAGCATTTTCCTTTTAGTCTCTCCAGTGTGATACGGCTTGATATTTTGCTTTCTTTAGGTGGACAGGAGCATGCTTTAGCACCAATTCTTGCAAAGACTCAGATCATCCTTTTTGTGGGAGTTTGACATGGTAGCCTTTCTTCAGTCAGTCACCATATACCTTCCCTTCCTTCCAAACTTTCAACAATAGTGGTATGAGCATGTCGGCTGATGTATCTGCGTCAGTTTTCAGTGTTTCTGGTGCAATACCAACAGGTCCTACTGCTTTCCCGGATCTCAGCAAATTTATGGCAATCAGGACTTCAATTCTCTCTAGTAGGCTGCGTCTCCACTTTCCTCACATTGAGATAATGTCGATCTGAATTTAAGTGTAGTCTGTCCATCGGGTGAAGTCGAGTCCATGTCGCTTTGTGGATATCCCTATGTTTGAACACGGTACCTCAATCCAATCACCAAACAGCTGAATGCACAGAATTCTGCAAACAATTCTCCATTCTCATTCACCATTTCACTGAGCGCTTCGCGACCCATGGTTAGTTCTCTTCCTGTGTTGTCCGCTCCCCGCAGTTTGGCATTCATGTCACCCCACCCATTAGAATGAATTTTGATATCGCCAACTGCATTGGGGTCTTGTCCAGTGCTGATTGCATTTGTCTGCAGAATTCCTCCTTCTTCTCTTCATTTGCATTATTTGTAGGTGCGTAGTGTAGCGTGGCATTGTATGATTGTGATTCTGCTTCATTTTGAGTTGAATCTTGCTGTCGTGATCCTCATCCTGCAGGAGGAGATTGGTTCCAACTGGGTGAAAGAGAGAGCGAGAGAGAGAGTCTTCGATGTTCTTGGCAGGGAGACATCATGATAGCCACTCTAAATCTCAGTGTGCTCGTGGTTATCGTTTGGGTGACAAAATCAGAGAAGATAAACGACTGTACAGTTGAGAGTTGGTAGAGTCCACTTCTATTCCATACGCAGATTACTAGCACCATACTAATCCAGCTTGTCTAAGTTTTCAAT